TCACAGGATGCGGGCTTGGCGCTGAGAGAAATTGCTTTCACGTCTGCTCACAATCAGCTAGATACGTACACGTCTAGTACGTCTGTGGGTATCTGACAAGGCAGAGATATCGAGGAATTGGACTCGATTCTGACCTCATACCTGACTCGTATCTAAATGGGCCATGACTTCGACTGCTGGTGTGCTGAAGACTTTTTTTTTTTCCCGGCGTTTGTCCTTCAAATGTCATCGATGCTGCTAATGACATGTATGGCGGGCGGTGCAAGTGATTTGGGTCCGTGCGTGCAGCAGCAATACTGTGGAAGACAGCTGCTCAGCAGCAGCAAGACGACGTAATTGGGTGATGCATCCGCGCCAGCAAGCCAGCTACGACGAAGTCTAAGCCGGGTCTCAGACAAATAAGCCACGCCAACAGCACGGCTCAGTTTCTTGTTTCTCGGCTGATGGATGCACTCTCTGCCACTTTACGTGTTGAATTGAGTAGTAGCTCAAAGTGCCCTTGCTGGGATTCGGCCACCGTCGAGGTGCATATGCTGTGTCAATCGTGATCGAGCGATTCACACTCGTGGCTTCTTGACTCAGGATTGAGCTTGTCTCCTCTCGATCGAACCCGGGGCTGGTAGGTGCTGAATGTGATCTCTTCGAAAGCGGGACGACACCAGTCATGATCTGAGACGAATTGATACAGTCGTGAATCCGAATGCCAGCTGGTGTAGAGGCTTCGCTCATTCTTGATCGCGCTGTTGTTGCATGGGTCGTGTCTGCGTGCACCAGCAGCTGTTTAGGCCTCCAAGCAGGATCAAGAATGCCGCTGACAAACATCAGCACTGCGTGCTTGATGTGAAGAAAGCTTGATTGTGGGCTGCTTGATTTGAGTGTGGACAAAAGAGACTTTCGCCAATTTCTTCCCGCGTGGCGGCATCGCGCTATCGCCAAAGCCAAACCGCTTTGGAGACTTAATGACTGCCCTAGTCAAGATTAGCTATCGCGATCGACCAGAGTTTCCTCCCGAACCGGAAACCCAAAGACAGCGGCTGGGTGTTGTCCGCATGATGCTGGTCAAGTTGTCTATACTGGTGATATTACCGCAATTTTTATTAGGTACGGAAACGTCTCGGCCTTCTTATTCGTGACTGTGAACCTCATCCTGTCTGTGCGCGACACTTTGCGCAGTCATTCTTGATATAGCCCTCAACCCTCAAAGTCTGCTGCCTAGCTGAGTCTTGAGCATATACTGACAGCATTCGATGACGGCATCGTGGTGATGCACATCTGAAACACGAATGTGGCTTGAGTGGAGCCGCAGTCGTCTCGAAGGTGAGTCCAGGGTGAGTGCAAATCACGGATCAAGTAAATGCATACGCTTTGAACGACATCGTGTCTTGGATGCCTGTCCTTCAACCGCGTGCTCGACTTTTCTGACTGGACTAGCAATCAAAGCACATCTACATGTGTGCCTACAGCTGTATATGGATGATTGCGTGGCTTGCCCTTTCTGGCGCCCTTTCGTATAGTCGTGTTAATTCATCTATGCAGCTTTGTTG